CAAAGCATGACTCTCCAACAAACATTTATAGGCCTATCAATTGCCACCAAGATAATTCTGACACATGGTGACCATGTGTGAGAGTAGAACTGTGCTCCATAGACTTTCAATGACTGATTTTTTTCAGAAGTAGATCATTAGGCCTTTGTTCTTAGACAACTCAGGGTGGAGTTGATCTTCCAACCTCTCAGCTAGCAGCTTTGCACCACCAGAGACTCACAGTTCTATACTGATGCAATGCACCAATCAAGGGATATTTTTATCATTAGAAATGGTTCTGGCTTATAGGCTGGCATTCCACTTCTCTGAGCTTTACAGAAAATAAAGTCAGAAAGTTAATCCAAAGGTCAGTTCTGTCCTTGGTGAAAAAGAGTTTTGTTCACCTGTTACTACAAGGCATCACTTCACCTAGCATGTCATCTTCCACACAGATGGTACTCAATAAATATTTTATACTGAGGAAATAAAAATGATAAACTTTAACATGACAGTATTAGTTGGTAATTTTCAAGCCAATTAGTAAGTCCTTTAATGACTTAGCTAACTTTAAAGAATCCACTGTTAGGATTTTTCGAAATCTAAAATTACAACAAACATTTCTCCCTCATCATCAACTCAGCAGATAATCAATGACTGAAGAGATGCATGAAGGCTATCACATCACCAACCCTGTTAGAAAAGTATTTTGAAGCAGCACACATAAAGAAAGGTCTACCTATGTCCTATAAAAAAAAAGAAAAAAAAAAAACTTTGATAAAACTAAACCATGTTCAATAAAATTATTCTTTGCAAGTTTTCTATTTAGAATAAAACAATTCATGACTAAATAATATGACAATGTATACAAGCACCTCTCTCTTCCCATGTTTGTCAATACACCCTTCTCCTCTTATATTGACATGTTTAGGTTTCAAAGATCAGGTTGTTACATGAAAATTGGCATTATGCAAAAATGGAGGAAGGTCACATCAGATCACAAAATGGAGGAGGACTATATCATTACACGGAGCTCTGGTAGCATAATGGCTAAGGCACTTGACTGCTAACCAGAAGTCCATGGAAGGAAGGGGTTGCTATGAGTCAGGTGCGACTCGACAGCACATAACAACAACAACAACATATCATTTCATAATTGCCATACTACTGACAATTATAGCCTAGCCAAGTTGACACATAACCTTACTCATCACAGCCTCGCACCTCAGCATTAGATATTGCCACATATATGTAGTTAATGAGTAAAATAGACTTTTTTTTACTATTGTAATAAATGCAAACTGTTGGGAAATGAAATAGTCAATAAGTGAAAAGAGGATGTATACCGCATGACAATCAAACTTTTGCATCTTTGCCAATCTGGTAGTGTAGTGCCTAAGGCACTTGACTGCTAACCAGAAGGCTGGAGGTTCAAACCCATCAGCCACTCCTCGGAAGGAAGATGGGACAATCTACTTCTGTAGTGATACTGCCTCAGAAACCCAAGGAGGGGTC